TCAATCTGATGGGTGTTCGAGAGCAGCCACTGTGGGGACCCTTGAAGCAGGGGAATTTTATTCTCCTGAACAGGTTACTGTTTCAGCCAGAAGAGAGAGACCAGGTGAGGTTTTAGGCAAGTAACACTGCAGGCACCCTGTGCGCCAGGCTCTGTGCTCAGCACATGGTGTGCGTTACCCTGTTCAGTCTTCCTGTAGCCCCATGAGGCAGGTGCTGTTCCTGTACGCCCTTCACCCGCGAGAAAACTAAGGTTCAGAGAGGTGATGTGATTTGACTGTGGAAATACAATCAGTAGCCACAGTGGCCAGGATATGGCAGCTGGAGCTGAGACGGGGGAAAAAAAGTCCTAAGCCAAAAGTCCAGCCATGGCTTCCTAGCTTTGTGGCCTTCAGTAGGCCAGTTTGCCTCCCGACCCTCAAGTTTCCACACCTGTAAACAGGGCCCGTTCCAGGGCTTTGGCTAGATAGTTTTCAGACTTGGAAATGCCGCTGGCGAAGCCCAGCTTAGAGCTCGCTGAGCTCAGAGGTCAGCGCTGTTCACGGGGCGAGTGCTGACTCGGTTGTGTGGGGCAGACACTGCAGGGCATGGCCAGGGATGCTCTGAGTTCTGTTTTCCCCTCCAGGAGGCATCCGCAAGGAAGGGGAGAGGGGCATGGGAGAGCCTGCGATCGCTCTCCGGTGGGTGCACTGCTGAGCTGGCCTGGCTGAGGCCGAGTAGGTCACGGGGCAGCCAGGAAGGGAGTGGCTGCTCATGGATGGGTTGGATTCAGAACTGCTCCTGTTACCCCATGTCGCAGCCCTGGTGATGTAGAGCTGGGACCGGCCTTTGAGGTCATCTCTCTTGGCCTCCTCAACCTCAAGGTGGGGAAACTGAGCCTCTAGAGAGAAGAAATGCATGGCTAAAGCCCCATGGTGACTGGGGGCTGGGCAGACCGGGGGCCAGAATCCAGCAAAGCAGAAGGGTGTTCAGGCCACTGGAGAGTCATCTCTGTGAGCAGAGGCACGGCTGCCCTTTCAGCACTGTGTCCCTCACTCCTGGTGCATCAGGGGCGCTCAAAAAAGATTTGTTGAGCGTGTGAGGATAGTAGGAAAACACACCCCCAGGGAGTCAGACAGCTTGGAATTCGGTGTCTGCTCTGGGCCAGCTTTACTTCTCTGGGCAAGTTTGCTTCACTTTGCTGAGCCTTGGTTTCCCAAATTGAGGTCACGGACCCAACTGGGAGGTGCCTGAGCAGGGATTGGAACCCAGAGCTGCTAGATTCCAGGCCTGATTTATCACTATACCTTCCTGATTCTTTTATATACTTGTTTCCCCTTCCTTCCTTCCTTCCTTCCTTCCTTCCTTCCTTCCTTCTCTTTTCTTCCTTCCTTCCTTCCTTCCTTCCTTCCTTCCTTCCTTCCTTCCTTCCCCTCCTTGCTTCCAAAAATATTTATTGAGCATCTGCTATGTGCCAGGCACTGTTTTGGTCTCCATGGATACAGAAGTGAACAAGATAGGTGAGGCCCTGGCCTCAGGGAATTTATATCTTAGAAGAAAGTAATAGTAAGCAAGTAAACAGGACAGGAATAGCATATGTACCCAGAAGGGACTGTAACGAGGTGTGAGTGGTGTCAGGGGAGGGCTGTGTCAGATAAGGGGCTCAAGGAAGATGACATTTCGTGTGACACCTGAGAAGAACCAGCCACGCAGAGAGCCTGAAGAAATAATTCAGTAAAACATGATGCTCTCACAGGCCCCAGGCCTCAGACTTACAGAAGGCGCCATGAGGAGGGCATGGAAAGAGAGAAGTTATCAAAGAACCCCAGATGGCCTCATAGGGCCAGGAAGGACGACACAGCCCTTGGGGATGACCGCACCCTGGGTCGCGTTTGGGTCTCCCCGTCCAACTGCCTCTGCCCTTCTAGGTGAAGCAGATCATGGAGGAGGCAGCCACACGGAAGTTCATCCACGAGGACAGCAGCCACATCATCTTCTGTGGTGAGTCCGTGGACCCTGACCTGGAAAGGGGCTTCTTTCTCTGTGGGCTGCCTTGGGGGAGTGGCGTCTTTGTGCCAGGGTTCTCACACCGTGTTTTGACTTTGTGACTCTGAAGTTATTTTTGGATTCCCGGGGGGCTCCGTGAGGGAATTTGGAACCACGGAGAAGCCGAGAGAAGAAAGGAAGAATGGCCTGTGTACCCAGCAAGAGTAAGTCACTGCTGACGCTGGAGGGACTGTCTTCCCCTCCTGTGGGCTCAGTTCATGGCTACCCATCCCCCTAGTGACGTTGGTCTCGCATCTGACAACAGACTCTGCACCCTTTCCTCACCCTGCCTGTGGCTGTTGCCAAATGAAGGGGGAGGATGGATGGGCTTTAAAGACATAGGGAATCGGGAGCCATTGATCCATGCTAAGGGATCATGTCCAGCTGGCTCAGCAGAGGAGGCAGGCCCAGGGCTCGGAGCTTGACTTGTGTCCTTGAATCAGCTGTGCTCACAAGATTCTAGAAGTAACCGTGCTGCCAGGTTCTTACTGTCCTTCCACAATGGCTGCAGACACATGTTTTACGTGTCCACACAGTCAGGGTTCAGCTTCTAATCCATGTGTATGTATAAGCAGGGATGTTTCTTTCTGCCTGAAAACCTTTTCATTCCATGACTGGAGTGTCTCGCAACGGAGGACGTGCTGTATCTCCCCTCTCGCGCTCTTGGCCCCGAGGAGAGGCCAGAGCGAGGAGACCTGGTCGGCCCTCAGCTTCATCCAGATGGCTGGAGGCACTACCCATCGAGCACGTGCCGTGACCTGGGAGCCCACTGCTGTCAGGTTAGCCCCTTTGCAGCCAGGCAGACCTGGGTTCGAATCCCTCCTCTGCCGTTTGTTTATTGGGTGACCTTGGCAAAAAAAAAAAATAATAATAATAAGTTTATTTGGAGAGAGAGTGTGTGGGCAGAGGGAGGGCAGAGAGAGAGAGGAAGAGAGACACAGAGAGAGAATCTCAAGCAGGCTTTACGCTGTCAGCGCAGAGCCTGATGCGGGCACCGAACCCATGAACCATGAGATCGTGACCTGAGCCGAAGTCGGACGCTTAACCAACTGAGCCACCCAGGCGCCCCCAGATTTCTTTTTAAAGTGAGATGTGTTTATTTAAATTACGTGTATATGTGTGTGTGTGTGTGTGTGTGTTTATATACTTGTATGTGTATATATAGGTGTATATATATATACGTCTGCATATGTACATGTGTATATACGCATAAATGTTAATGTGAGAATGTATATATGCCTAATTTTTTTTTTATCCTGGACATCTCTATTTGCAAAGAAAATAATAGGCATACTTCAGAGTGTGCGACCATGCTCACACTGGTCGGAAGTTCCACGGAAGTGGAAGGAAGGAAGGAAGGAAGAAAGAAAAGAGAGAAGGAAGGAAGGAAGGAAGGAAGGAAGGAAGGAAGGAAGGGGAAACAAGTATATAAAAGAATCAGGAACAGAACGGGATAAAAATTATGATTCTCTACCTCCAACCCCAGTGTTTGGATGAGGGAGGAAGGGTGATGTCACTGCAGGGTGAGGCCTGCAGGGGCTCCCTGTGGTGTCTCTGCTCCATTGTGCCTCATAAGCCATTGTCAGAAAGACGCAAGGCATGTCTCCAGTGCTTGAACAGTTAATTAACTTATTGCAGTCTAAACCAAAGTGTAGTGTGTGCAAGCAAAAATGAAGATATTTCCGAGATGCTCACCCAGAATATATTAAACCCATGGGCAGATTAGGCAGTAGGGTGGGCATCCGTTCAAAGCCACGTAATCGCTGGGGCACCTGGCTGGCTCATTCAGTAGAGCACGTGACTCTGGAGCTCAACGTCGTGAGTTCCAGCCCCACGTTGGGCGTGGAGCCTCCTAAAAGAGAAAGTATAATCATAAGGTTTTGAAAAAAGTCAAATAATTGCCAACAAAAACAAACCAAGACAAGCAATTGCACCAAACCTCTCGGTATTTCTCCTTGTGTGCAACATAACCTGGGCCAGGCTCTTAACCCTCAGGCTGCTGGAGTATTCCTTCTGTGGAGTCACAGTAACTAGAACTCTCACTGCTTGGGTTTTTTCCACAAGGATTAGGTAAGGTAAACCTTAACACTGGTCTCACACCCAGCAGATACCCAATAAGGAGTAGCCCTTATAAGATGCTCAGTTTTTCCGTGAACATCGATTATGCTCATATGATACACCAGAGTGAGCTCCCTCCCAGTCTGCTGTGTAAGACGGAAGATAAGAAAATACTCAATAAAGCGCTGCTGAAAGTACCAGAAATAAGACTGGGGCCATCCGAATGGCCTGCACAGGGACTGTTTCCCGGGGGGAGAGGGGTGGGGGGGACACTAAGGCCCAGAGAGGGAAAGCGATTTGCCTGAGGTCGCACAGCAAGTTAGTGATAGAGCCCAGGCTACTGCCCAGGTCTCCTGCTCTGAGCAGGGCTGGGCGGGGTGTCCAGGGGAAACACAGACATGGAAAGATGATGACAGTCCTCTCTTCAGATCCTTTGTGGCGGCACAAGTGCTGTGAGCACACCTTGGGCTCAGACCTGGCTTTGGATCCCAGCTCGTCTGGGTGGCCCTGGGCAATTCAGTTCCCCTCTTAGGGCCTCAGTTTCCACATCTGAGAACTGGAGATGGCGTTCCTTTCTTCCTTGGCTGTGGCAGAGCTGGAACGGGATCCATAATGTTGGCTGTTCCTGGAGTCACAATGGTGGTGCCGATCATGTGATTCTTCAGCCCAGATAAAGCCCACCAGTCGTGTGGTCAGCCTCCCCTCCCTCACTGACAGGAGTAGTAGCTAACGGCCCTGAAGCGCTCACTGTGTGCCGAACCATGTGAAGCGCTTGCCATGCATTTTCCCCACCTCGCTTGCTGCAACCGTGTCAGATGCCTGTTCGTACTTTCCCATTTCACAGATGAGGATACTGAGACACAGAGAGAGGAAGTCATTGCCCAAGGTCACGCAGCCGGTTAGTGTCTGGGAGAGGATATGAACACAGACAGTCTGACCTTGGGCAGCAAACACAGGTTCACTGCTAAGCTCTCCTGCTCCCTTTTGAGGGAGTGGAAGGCAGACAGACGTACGTGATTTTCCTTTGATGCTTTCGTGGATTTTGCGATTCTGGGGTGCCCCACTCTCCAAGGCGCCTCTGTGTGGCTGAAGACCTGAGCTGGGCTGGGTGCTGGGGAGCACGGGTAGGGCAGGGCCTGCTGACCATTGTGTCCCTGCAGCGGCTGTAGAGGCCTGCGTCCTGCATGGGCTGCGGCGGC